AGGCAATCACATAAAAGTAGTAACAGTTTTACTTCATTTCAATCTTTTAATTTTTGTTTCGTTTTCCGGTTTTATTTTACTGGCAAGAAAACTCCAGTATAATGCTGAAGACAACTGGTTCTTTTTCAAATATTTGAAATAGTTTGTAGTTGATTCTCCTGGATATTCTCAGCAGATGTAAACATCTTTGGTAATAATAACAGTTTTATATTTTCCTTTCCAATTTTTATTATTTTTTATAGTCTCTTGATCTTTGATGATTTTTAATGATATCCTTTTTTTCTTTAAGCATATCAAACATACTTCTTGCCCTTTCTCAATTAGATGACTGAATACTTTACAAAACTAGTTCTGTTGTTTGTTGTTTTTGCTGACTCTTGCTCCTAAAAGGCAGTATAGTGTTATCTAAGAACTTGGACTCTAAAGCCTGGATCCCTGGGTTTAAATCCCACCTCTACTACTTACTAAGAGGTACAGCCTTGGGCACACAACTTAACCTCTCTATACCTCAGTGTCTTCATCTTAAAAAATGGTAAGAATAATATATATACCTCAAAGATTTTTTGAGAATTATGTAAGAACATGGCATATGTCATCATGGAGGCCTAATTCTTTGAGTATTCTGTAATTTTTTTGAACTTGTATTTATTGCAATTCAATGTATGGGAATTCGTTGATGCCTGTGTTGAGAGTACTTTCTTCTAGGTGATTGGGCGCGCTATGGACCTGGCCCATTTTAAATTAGAATTCTCAGCCTATGGACATAGCACTTCTTGCGTCTTGGCCTCATGCATAGTAGTCTCTGATCCAGCTCCCCACCCTGCACAGTCCCAAGGATCTGTCTCTAGTCCCCTAGGTACACCAAAGCTATAAAATTATGAAGAATTGAATTTATCCCCTGGATATACAGGGGCTGCTTCAGCATGTTATTAACCTCCTGGTCTTGCTTCATTCTTAACCTGAACAGATTTCTCTTACTTTCCTGTAGGCTCATCCAATCATTTAAAAGGGTGGTTTTAGTATTTCATTAAGCTTTTAAATATATTATGTAGCCGGAGGTCGTACTGTCAGAAATACTGTCAGAAAGAGAAGTCTCCTTCTAGTAATTTTTAACAAGTCTCTTAGGTTTTCTAGGTACACAATCACATCATCAGCAAAGAAATATAATTCTCTTCCAATATTTACATAAATTATTTCATTTTCTTATCTCATCATATATTTTCCAGAACCTCCAAAACAACAGATAGCCCTTGCCTTGTTGCCAAGTTCATTTACAGTGATGTTTGCTGTTAGTTTTTAGTAAAGAAACATTTTATCTTGAAGTAATTAAATGTATGTATCTGGTCTTTTTATGTAATTTTTATTTCTCTAGAGTATCATCCCTCTATTTTAATTTTCTAACTTATCAGTGTGGAACTGAAAACAAAATTCTACAGTAATTTTTAAAATTTGTTATATCTATGGCTATTTACCATTTTTTTTTTTATTTCTAATAGAATTTATTGGTGCTTCTTCTTTTATTCTTGAGCATAATACAGAAGGTTATCTACTGTATTCATTTTCTCAGAGAAGCAGATGATTTTCATGCTAGATCTACATAGCTAGAGATTAGAGTTATTATGTACATGTGCATATACAATATGCAGCTGCAGTGCGATGGACTACTTTTATATGGCCTTTCTCACCATGGTCTTGTAACTCCTACCAAATGACTGAGTGGGACTATGCAAATAAGGTGCCTGTGGCCCACCAAGGGGATTGGACAGCTTGCTAATAATGCAAATAAGGTGCATGGCACCCTTGTGGGGGTGGGACCATACATGCAACCCCAACAAAGGGATTAGTCAGTTTTGTCATCCTTAGGCTTAAAATGAGCTATCCCAGAGGCAGAAAGGGGAGGTCTCACTAGCACCAAGAAGGAGGGCCGGGAGTAGAGCACGTCCTTTGGACCCAGGTTTCCTGCGCTGAGAACCTCCTAGACCTAGGGAGAGTGAGCTGTAACACCAGAGATGGCACCAGACAGCGAGAAGTGGTGGCAGAGAAATAGCGGCAGCAGAACCAGGAGACTGGCCCAAGATGGCGCAGTTGGGCTTCCTCGCCCATGCAGTGAGGTGGCTACAGTGGGTGTGCCAACCCACGGAGCGAGAGACCTGAGTGCTTTCAGGCAAAAGGCTTCCTGGTGGAGTGGGGTGCCTCTGGGCACTTGGCACAGCTAGGCTCGTTGACCCACGGAGCAAGAAAGAGCTGAGTACCTTCAGGCCAAGGCTTACTGGCAGAGTAGGGTTCCTCCTGGCACTTACTGGTGGAGCTGAAGAACTTTGTAACACTTGCCCAAGTAGGGCAGAGGCCAGGCCAAGGGGCCGAAGGCCAGAGAGAGGCCTGCCAGTGGGCACAGTCAAGAAGCTGTCCTGATTGAAGAACTATATCCTGAGTTGTTCCTGATCCTGAATTGTAACCTGTTACTTCCCTAATAAACCCCATAATCATAAGTATTGTCTATGAGTTCTGCGTGGCCACTGCAATGAATTATTGAACCCAGTAGAGAAGTAGTGAGTGCCGTGGGAGGGACTGCTGGTGTGAGAATTGGTAAAAATATTGGAGAGAGGAGGTTTGTCTGACCTCCACCTCATAGGAATCAGCCCTGGGCTGTTGATGCTGATGGTGATTCTCCCCACATCATGAAATTAGAGGTCGTCAGACTCCCTTGTGCCATTGTTACAGTGGCAATATTTAAAATATATTTAAGAGGAAAGTGTTTCTAGGCTTTAAATCATTGCTATATTTTCATGATTAAAATTCATTTTTGAGAGTAATTCTGTTTCAGTAACTATATGAGGTATTTGTTGTTATTAGGGTGTACTACATACAAAATGTCATTTTTTGAAGGAAAAGTGAGAACATTATAAATTGAGATGAAACAAATATATTTAATCAAAATATGGTCCATTATATTTAATCAAAATATGGTCCATTACGTTCAATTATCTTGTGTCAATGTAATGTTACATTACATATTTTTAAAAACTCTTCATCTTTTGAGACTGTAAAACTACTCAAATGCTTCAACTACAGAGTCTTAATTTGTGAATCTTTTATTACGCGTGAAGAGTTCGAAGTGTTTGAAAAGGTGGTAGTCTGTTGGGAGAAATGTCAGGTGAGTAAAGTGGATGCAGCACAATCTCATAACCTAGCTCCATTAATTTTCGAAGAGTGGTTTGAGAAGTGTGTGGTTGCACGTTGTTGTGCAGCAGAGTTGGTCTATCTCTGTTGATGAGTCTTGGCTGTTCTGATCTCAATTTTTCCTGCATATGATCAATTTCCTGACAGTATGAGTTTGCACTGATTGACTGCCCCTGATGCAAAAAAGAATAAGGGATTATGCCTTTTAAATGACTGGATGAGCCTACAGAAAAGTAAGAGAAATCTGTTGAGGTTAGGAATGAAGCAAGACCAGGAAGTTAATAACCTTTTTTGGGTGCAGTGGTTGTTTTGGGTAATGTCTTGGAGACTGCTCTGCATCTTAACCATTGCCAAAGAGTATCCATTTCTCATCTACAAGTAATGGTATGTTGTGAAAAAAAGGCTCATTTTTGTTGTGGGCTAGCAGTCCTGAGCACCCCTCTAGACATCGTGATTTCTGATTTTTCATCAATTCACGAAGAACTCATTTGTCCAACTTTTTCACTTTTCTGATGGCACTTAAATAGTGGGAAACAGTCACAGGAGATACTCCCAAGTCTGCTGCAAGATTCTCAACTGTTGCCGGAGGGTTGTTTTCCACCAATTCTTTCAATTGGTCTTTGTTGATGACGTATTTTGGTTTTCCTCGAGGCTCATTTTGAAGGCTCTCGTCACCAGAACTTAATTTCTGAAATCACCGCTGTATCATTTGCTGGTTACTAACACCCTCTCCAAATGCCAAACTGATGTTTTTCTCAGCCTCAGTTGCATTATGTGCTAATCTGAACTCGTATAAAAAAAGTAGTGCTTGTTCAACAGTTATCATATTATTGAGGGGCAAAAAAATCAACGTTTACAAGACAAAAGCTACCTAGAAAATGAAGTCAAATGATTACAAAAGCTAGCTTAGTAATACGAAATGGTGTAACCTAACAGCCACTTGCCCTAACATGTCTAATCAGGATTCAAAAACAATTCATCTTGAATCTGACATTTCATGTGGTACACCCTAATAGCTGCCATCTAGTTGGAGCCAACTCATGGCGACTGTATGTATAACAGAACAAAATGTTGCCTGGTCCTGTACCATCCTCATGATCGTTGGTATGTCTGAGTCCACTGTTGAGGCTATTGTCAATCCATTTCACTGAAGGTTTTCATTTTCTCTGACCCTCTACTTTACCAAACATGATACAACTCTGCTACATACCTTTTCCAATCCTAAACCTTGCAGCATCTCCTTGCTCTATTCGAATGACTGCCTCTTGATCCATGTACAGATTGCACATGAGGACAATTAAGTGTTCTGGAATTCCCATTCTTCATAATGTTATCCATAATTTATTATTATCTATGCAGTTGAATGCTTTTGCACAGTCAGTAAATCACAGGTAAATATCTTTCTGGTATTCTCTGCTTTGGGCCAAGATCCATCTGATATCAGCAATATCGCTTGTCCTAGAATACCACTAATTTTCCCTGTTCTTGCTCCAGTCGATGGCAGGCAGTAAATTATTTTCATTTAACTCTGTCAGTCCAACAAGAACAAAGTATGTTCTGCTTGAAAAGCTTTGCTTAACAGTGCTATTTCAAAGGGCATAATAAATAAAACTGGAAGCACTCTAGGTCATATATCATACTAAATAAAAACACAGCACTGGGACTCAAGAACCCATTGGAAATGAACCACCATTCAGTAAAATAAAGCTGATATAAATCTCTCTCCTTATTTTTAATATACAATTCCAATTAACATCAGGTCATGTTTCGAGATTTGCAAAAACATTATCCATTCTGGCACAGTATAATTAACTACCTACCTGTTTTTCATCAACCTTATTTCTCTTTTCAACTGGGGGTCATCTGTCTTAGCTGCCTGAGATGTAAGAGTCACAGGAGATGTCATCACCACAGTCTGTGGTAGTGAAGTAGCTGAAGGTGTAGTACGGATCTGGTATGTCTGCATATCTCCTGATGCAGCTGTGTGGTCAAAAGAGAGTGAGTTAGTTGATAAATGTCTTTTGAAAGTACTCTGGGACACTTTCTACTGACACTTAAGCATACTTACTCTGTACAACCACCTGATTGCTGGGCACAAGTATTTGCTGTCCATCAGAGGTCTGTGCGTACTGGAGAATTGTTGTACCTTGCTGAGTACTGCCTGAATTTGTCATGGTTAACGTTTGAAGCCCCTGTACTCCATCTGTGCCTGGACTGGCCAGCTGTAAGGCTCCATTTGGGGCAATGGCAACTTTAACCAAAGAGAGAAAATAGCTATTGTAAGGCCCCAGAACATACACTAATTGCAAATGACTGGCAAAAACAAACAAACACTATTTGTTAAAACAGGTTTGAATGCAGTTCTACTTGATAACTGTTGTCTACTTTTGATGAAATATATGTAAAAGAAATAAAAGTCTTTATAAAATTTTATAGTTCGGATGCACTATCTTAAATTCAGTTTCAAATTGTACAATATAACTGACTGGTCAAAATTAGCACATTCTAGGCTCCATAGAGCACTTCATACTAATGGCTAATGTTGCCACAACAATTCTTGAAGAGGCACCAGTGGCTAACCTTTTAAAAGAAAAAAGAAGAAAACATTAACATGGTTTCTAGTTATTATTTAACAGAAGCATTAAAAAGATCATAACTTACAAATACTTTTGAATAGGTAACATGTGCCTATGGGAAAAAATTCAAATAGAATAAAACGTTATATAATGAAAGGTACGTCGTCTTCATACTCTGTTTCTTAGCTCTACTTTCTAGTGGTAACCACTGTTAAATTTACTGCATGTTATTATTTACTTAAGAAATGTAATCTATTCATTCACTTCACTAGTGAAAATCAGCAATAAAGTTAGGTCATCAGAAAACTACTGTATAGATCACCTTACTTAGCTTCCCACAAATATTTTTTGTTGAATTATACTTGCGTTGTTTTCCCCTCGGCCCTTAAGGCATGACCAAATAAAATACATTTTAGCATTATGTAATTCCCAGATAGTAAATCCTCCTGAGAATCTAGTGCCCTATCTCTGTACCCTCTTTTTAGAGTATAATTATTCAACATTATTTTCCTCTTACACACTTTGGCTACAAAGACAAATATACTTGTCTTTGTGTGTGTTTTAACTAAAAATAATTTTTTCAGGAGTTTCTGATTATCCCTTCTCTGTGGCCACACACGAATGTTCCCACATACTTTAATTTATATAAAAATACTCATTAAAATTTTTCAGGTGCAGAGATTTGATTTAAAGTTATATTAGAATTAGTTTTAATCTCCTTTCCTGCCTGTAACATATATACATATATAAACCCGTTGCCGTAGAGTCGATTCTGACTCATAGCGACCCTATAGGACAGAGGAGAACGGCCCGATAGGGTTTCTTAGGCTGAAATCTTTACAAGAGCAGATGGTAAAGTCTTTTCTCTCATGGAGCAGCTGGTGGGTTCGAACCACTGACCTTTCAGTTAGCAGTCAAGCGCTTAACCACTGTGCCACTAGGGCTCCTTTACATTTATATATTAAAAAAAATATTAATGCAGACGTAAATATATAAATAAAATAAAAAAGTAAAGTCCCATTATCTATTCCTATTTATTCCACTGGCCACCTCCATCATGAGGTGACCATTATTTTTGGTGTACATCCTTCCCAATCTTCTCCTATGCACATCCAGACTAATATACTAATATATCTCAAAATATGCGTATCTACAGATGCACATTTTTAATAAAAGTGTTAAATATATGTACTAATACATAATTTTTTTGTTAGAATTATTTTTATTATAGAAGATCACTGGACGCAAACCCTGTGATTGACTCTTTTAATTCAGGGCTGTGTTTTTAAAAGACAAAAAACATTACTTTTATTTAAAAGCCAGGATGTTTATTCCTTGATTAACAGACAATACACAAATGATTTTCATTTTTTCAACATATATCTTCCTGTTCTTGTTTAACATGTATATTTACCTGGCTGTATTTACTCTAAATCTGCGCTGTCCAATATGGTAGCCATTAGCCATGTGACTATTTAAATTAAAATGGAACAAAGTTAAAAATTCAATTCTTCACCAGCCACTTGCAAATGCTCAACAGTCACATGTGGCAGATGGCTATTATACTAGATGACACAGACACAGAACATTTCCATCATTACAAGAAGTTCTATTGGAACATGCTGCCCTAAAATACCAGTTTGTATTATACATATGAAATACAAGACTAAGTTTTTATATAATCTTCATAAATCCAATTTTTAATGTTTTAAAAATAAACCATATTGATATACCACGATTTTAAACTTGTTGAATATGCTTTTAAAAAATATTTTTTTGAAACAGTAATACATTACATGGTAAAAAAAATTCAATTTTGATTAGAATGAAAAGTGAACCTCCCTCTTGCCTCTCATCTTTGCTCCTAAGTTTCCTTCCTATATAAGAATAGACTCTGAAACCACTGTTTTAGTTTCTTACGCATCCTTACAGAGGGTACTCTCTATATATTCTATAATCCATTTATTTATAACAAATTTTTATTGAGAGCCCACTAAGTGCCAGGCCCTATATGCAAAGGATAGAGCTATGAGTGAGACAGACACAGTTCTTTCCCTCAAGGAACTTACATTCTAGTGAGGGAACAGATGATAAATAAGCTATAGAATTATAGGTAGTGGTAAGTGCTATGAAGAAAAATACAGGAGGGTAAAGAAAACTAAAAGGAGGAGCAATATATTTTAAGATGAGTGGTCTCTTGGAGGAAGTCACACTTAAGCAGAGCAGCAGTGAGGATGTAAGCCATGTGAATATCTAGGGAAAGAATATGCCAGGCAGTGGGGACAACAATTCCAAAGAGCCTGAGGTGGAAACAACCTGAAGCAGAAACAAGCACAAAAGTCTGTGTGGCCAGAATGCCATGAGCAAACAGTCAAGGGGCAGGAAATGAGGTCAGAGTGGTAGTCAGCAAGGCCAAATCCTAAATGTTCTGCCTTCTTGGAACTAGATTTTATTCTAAGTGTGATGGAAAGTCACTGGAGGATTTTGAGCAGGAGTGATGTGATCCACATGACATTGAGAAAAACAAAACGCTTTAGCTGCAATGTGGAAGACTTATGGTTGGAGCCAGAATGGAAGCAAGAATACTGATGGGATGCCTACTGCATTAATTTAGATGAGAGTCTAAACCAAAGTGGTGGTGGAGATGGGGAGGTGGTGAGAGGTGGTCAAGCAAGAGCCAACTAGACTTGAAGATTAGGAGTTAGGAGTGGAGGGAAAGATTAACTACAAAGATGCAGCACAAGGGAATTTCTTGGGGTGATGGAACTATATACTGATGTGGTAGTCAAATGACTATGCATTTGTCAAAACTCAAGACTCCAAAAGGAAAGAATTCTACTGCATGTAATTAAACAGTAATTTTTTAAAAGACTATCCAGGCAAATTATGAAAAAGAGAAATAATTATATTAATATAAATCTATATAGTAATTATGTATGGAACTGCATAGGTATATAAATGAATAAAACAGACCCAAATACATATGAAATACTACCTTCATCCTATACTGAATTCCTCTATCAGTGAGCTAAAGGTAAATTTAAATATATAAATGGTATTACTTCCACAAACTAGGTAGCCAACTAGGGGAAAAAAGTTAGATTCCCCTCAACACTGGTGTCTTTTTGTGTAAAGTGGGCCAAGAAATGTATATGACAAAGATGTAATTAAAACTATTTTGAAAGGGTCCTCGAGCTAGCCTTATCAAAAGCTTCCCAACAATTCAAAAGGGTTTTGTTTTAACAAGCTGTTTCTGTGAAATGAGGTACTGGTAGTGAATGGTTATCACAAATCCCTGAGACATCTGGTTAGAGGTGCTTAAAATCAACCTCTGATGTTTTTATGACCCTACCTGAAGGACATGTGACTGTAATTGAAAACCTTGAAATCAATCACTGTAAGCCTCTGTACCCAATTATCCAATAGAAGCCCATTTCCCACCTCCTAACCCATCATTCTTGGATCGCAACCAAAGACTAACCAATCAAATGATTGTATTATAATTTCTTTGTTCCTTGGACTGTATCTGTTCCTGTTAGAAGCTCTCCTGCTGGAGTCATCAGTTTCTCATTTATATGAACTGGTGTCTCTCTGCATTTGAATGTTATTTTGTTTTATTTTTTATTTTTACTGAATAAGTCCTCCTAAGCTTATTTAAAAAAAAAAAAAAAAAGAAGTTGGATTCCCACCTGACTCCTTATACCAAAATACATTTAAGACAGATCAAAGATTTAAAAGTAAAAACTGAAACCAAAGTACTAAAAGAAAACATTGGGGAAATGGTTTTATTAATCTCAGAGAAGGGAAAAGCCTTTACAAGCACTGACTACAAATCCCAAAGCCATCGAAGAAATGTCAAGAAGAATGAATGAATGAATATATATACATACGTACATATATATATATATATTTAAATCTGCATGCAAAGAAACACCAAAAGAATTTAAAAACAAAGGACATATTGGAAAAAATATTTGTGACACTCCTGACAGATAAAGTGCTACTTCCCTTAATATATAAAAGCTCCCATATATTAAGAAGTAAAAAGACTCAACAGAAGAACAAAGAGTACAGGTCAATTCTTAAAGAAGAAAATTCAAAAGGCTCTTTAACACATAAAAATATGCTCAATTTCCTAGGAGAAATGGGAATCAAAGCTCCAATGACATATAATTTTTCACCTATAAGATTGACAAGGAGCCCTGGTGGCACAGTGGCTAAGCTCTCAGTTGCTAGCCAAAGGTTGGCAGTTTGAACCCACCAGCCACTCCATAGAAGAAAAAGATGTGGCAGTCTGCTTCTGTAAAGATTTACAGCCTTGGAAACCCTATAGGGCAGTTCTGCCCTGTCCTATAGGGTCACTATGAGTCTGAATCGATTCAACAGCAATATAAGACTGACAAACATCAAGAAGTTGGATAATACTGTGTTGACAAGGCTAAGTGGAAAAAGACTATCATACACTGTTGGTGGGAGTGTAAATGGGTACAACCTGTATAGAGTACAATTTTTATCAAAATTTAAAGGACACTAACCACATGAATGAGCAATTCCACATCTAGAAATTTATCCTCAGAGTCACACATCTGGACAAAGAAAAAAGAACATTCCTTGCAGCACTGTTTTTAATAGCAATAGGGGATTATATATTTGATAGTAGTACACCTGTACAATAGAGTGCAGCTGTTAAAAATGAGGCAGCCCCATATGAACTGACAAGAAATAATCTCCAAAATATCTTGCGTAAAAAAAAAAAAAAGGGCAAGTTACATACCAGGATATAATGTTGGCTATCAACTGTAAACCTGTATATCTCTGTGAGTGTGTGTGTGTGTGTGTGTGTGCTGTATATGCACTGAGATACACAAAGTGGTGACAGTGATGGCCTTGGGGGACAAGGGTGGCAAGGAGACTTACTTTTTTACTGTTATCTTCAAATCTTTTGAATTGTGCCTATTCAAAAAGAAGTAAATCTAAATTTTACCAATGCCAGCATGATAAATGTCCTAATTTCACAACACACATACATATACATTTTTTTCTAATTTACAAGGTATGAACACCAAAAGCACAAGCAACAAAAGAAAAAAATAAACTGGACTTCATCAAAATTAAAAACTTTGTGCATCAAAGGACACCATCAAAAGATGAAAAGCCAGTCCACAAAATGGGAGAAAATATTTGTGTATCATATATGTCACAAGTGACTTATGTCCAGAGTAGATGAAGAACTCTTAGACCCCAACAAAAAAGAGATAAATAACCCAGTTAAAAAAATGCGCAAAGGATTTGACAGACATTTCTTCAAAGTAGATATACAAATGGCCAATAAGCACATGAAAAGATGCTCAACATCATTAGCCACTAGGGAAATGCAAATCAAAACCACGTCACACCCACAAAGATAGATATCAAAAAGACAGACAATAACAAGTGTTGGAGAGAATGTGGAGAAATTAGAACCCTCATGCATTACTAGTGGGAATCTAAAATTGTGCAGCCACTTTGGAAAACAGTCTGGCAGTTCCTCAAAATGCCAAACACAGAGTTACCATATGACGCAGTAATTCCACTCCTAGTATACTCAAAAGAAGTCTAAACATGATCACACAAAACTCGTACTTAAGTGTTCACAGAAGCGTTATTCATAATAGACAAAAAGTGGAAACAACCTAAATGTCCATCAACTGGTGAACAGATAAATAAATATCCATACAATGGAATATTATTAAGCAATAAAAAGGAATAAAGTACTGATCTGTGCTACAACATGGATGAAACTTGAAAATACTAAGCTAAGAAGCCAGTTATAAAAGACTACATCTTGTATAGTTCCATTTACATGAGTTATAGATAAATAGGTAAATCTACAGAGACAGAAAGTAGGTAACTGGTTGTCTAGGCTGGAGAGAAGTGGGGGTAGGGGTGGGGAGTAGGACTGGGGAATGACTGCTAATGTGTAGACGATTTCTTTTTGAGGTATTAAAAATGTTTTAAAGTTAGTGGCGATGGTTGCACAACTCTGAATATAGTAGAATTCACTGAACTGTGTACTTTAAATGGGCGAGTTTTATGGTATATGAAACATCTCAATAAAGCTATAAAAAAAAAAATTGGACTCCCCAGTGATGATTTGTTATTAAACATTTATATTTCCTTATATATGAATTGTCTATGAATTGGTAGAAAAGATATGGTTTTTGAAGTTAGATAGATCTGATAACATCCAGTAAAGATTATGTGAAATGCTTAGCAGCATGTGGAATACAGAACAGCTGCTACAACTTATTAGATGTCTACTTTATACAGGGTCTTAATGGATGATTTATTTGCTTCCTCATTTTCATGATTTTTTTCTTTAATCTTTCTTTAAAATTTTAATCATCTTACTGGATAGCTATTGCAAGCTACCTCAATTCCTTTTAAGAGTTCCTAAATCAGAATATAAGGAGCCCTGGTGATGCAGCAGTTAAGTGCTCAGCTGCTAACCAAAAGGTCGGCAAACCCACCAGCTGCTCCACAGGAGAAAGATGTGGCAGTCTGCTTCCATAAAGATCACGGCCTTGGAAACCCTATGGGGCAACTCTACTCTGTCTTACAGAGTTGCTCTGAGTCGAGTCAACTTGACAGCAAAGGGTTTGTTTTTTTTTAATCAGAATAGAAAGAAATATTAAAAAGCTGTATTATGAGAAATTTAAGAGGTTATTTCAATATTTGTAGTTTGTGAATCTCCTCCTATACATATCTAGGAAGTCGTAATTCCTATCACTTCAACATTGTCAGGCATATGATACAATTAAAATTGATAAGCATTCATTCTCCTGATACATAAACACAGAGAATATATACGCAGCACTACTGTCCACTGTATCCACTAATAAACATATCTGGTCATTACAGACAGTGCTAGTGAGTTTCAACTTGGTTTATTACTGAGTTTCAACTTGGCTTAGCTTACCTTCATTAGAAGGTATTAATCATCAGTGCTTTAAAAACAAAAAAATTAATAGACTGATATGTGATAAAGCAAAAATAGTAAAACATTATGTAGCTATCTAGGTGGCAGCTTTATGGGTGGCCATTTCCTTCAACTTTTCTATATATTTGAAATTTTTCATAATGCTGGAAGCAAAACTAAAAATTAAACTTGAAAATATATGAGGGCTAACTCATTACCTTGTTAGTTTTAGCAAATGCAATTTCATTTACTAAATTATTAAGCCAAAACATCTAAGTGTTAACACAAATACAAATTATTTACTAATCTATAGACCATTGATGAACATTAGATGAAGACAGATACATTTGTGTTTGCGGTAGGTACTTCATTTTTTATCACTCTGTCTCTAACTATGAGCTTTCCTCTCAAAAGGCAAGGACCACATTTGCTTCCTTTATAACTTTACCTAGCCCCTAGATGGGATTCTGTACACCAGTAGACACCCACTTTGTTCTCCTTACTGACTGTAACATTTTCAGATACAGAGATTTACTGATTTATTAAGTTGACTGGTCCCTGTAAATCACACTGCAAAGCAGTCTGAATCTTCCTTCTGATTCAGACTTCCAAAACTGAAACTGAAAATTCATCATTTGGGTTTAATTTTTCACTATATAACTAATTCAAATAGTAATTTCTGCTGGAATTAAAGTCATAGACATAACTGGCTAGTGTCTAAATCAGAGGTTTATAAAAGGGAGTGTCGTTTGGAGTAAAATTATTCTCTCTAGACTCAGACCTGGTTTTGAATTCTGGCTCCATAACCTGGGAACTGTGTGACTTTAGGGACATTATCTAACCCTCTGTTTCCTCATAAAATGATAACAGTGCCTACTTCACAAAGTTGTCGTAAGGAGTAAATGAGATAATGATGAAAAAGTAGTTTGCATTATGCTTAGCACATAATAAAAGCTCAAGATGTTACCCTTTAAAAATCGTCATTATTAAAGTCTGACATTCTCTCTATATATCACTTCTCTCCACAGAAGAGTTCTTTTATGTCTATCAGGTGGAAATTGATTCTTATACATACTGTACTGTCCAGTGCTAGTCTGATAGATGGGAGTTGGAACAGACATAGAAGTGACAGTAGAAACTCCAGGGTTTTCTCCGTCTCCTTTTCTGCTCCGTGTATCTTCAGAAGATAGGTCTTTCAAAATTTTTCTGTGAAAAACAGAATTTCATTAATGCTGGTAAAAAAGATTGTGAATTGCCTTATAGGGACTCTTTTACAAAAAGAAATTGCTAAATCTTTTCCAGTCTCAGATTATAAGTGCAATAATCCCATCAACAGATGAATGGATAAACCAAATGTGGTATATACATACAATGAAATCTTTTTCAGCCACAAAGAACAATGAAGTTCTGATATATGCTACAACATGGATGAACCTTGAAAACATTATGCTGAGTGAAATGAGTCAGACTCAAAAAGATAAAAATTATATGATTCCACTATATGAAATATCCAGAATAGGCAAATCAAGGCTTCAAACGGTTCATTCCTGTTCGACTCCCTGCTGAAAATGTGCATTTCCATCCCAGATAAACTGAATCAGAATCTACATTTAACAAGGAGATTCTTAATGTTAAAATGTAGATTCTGATTCGGTATATCTGGGGATGGAAATTTAAACTCTCAGCAGGCGGTCGAACCAGAGTGAACCAGTTCAAAATCCTGAGGCAAATGCATACAGAAGAAAGTATATTAGTGGTTACTTGGAGCTGGGGAGAGGAGGAATGGGAAGTTATTGCTTAGGGGGTATTGAGTTTGTTTAGGGTGATGAATAAGTTTTGGCAACAGTGGTAATGGTTGTAAAACATTTTGAATGTAATTAACGTCATTTAATTTTATACTTAAAATCAACTCAACAGCAACAGGTATTATAATGATGTGCTGCTGGCTAGTTATATTTTAGTTTTATATAATTACTCAAAAAGATACTGTAATACAGTAAAAAAATACAGTACCTTTCTACAGAAAAGGCACTTATAGAGGTATATGGTCGCTATGAGTCAGAAATGACTTGATGGCAATGGGTTTAGAGGTATGTCTCTTTCCTCTACGTAAGGAATGGCTCCACTTTGAGCCATTAATTAACAAATCAATATTCATTTTCTAAATAGTGTCATTGATCTTCATTTAAAAAGATCAAATTTTATTTTTAACCTTCAATTCTAAGTAGAAGAGAAGACCATAGTTCCCAGAAAGAAACAAGGTTAGAAATACTATTATAACAATGCAGAGTATCAGGGATAAATAAAATTATTTTAACAAAAAGGTAAATATGATCTCACAGGTATCCTTCATACTTGGTGAAATGGGACTCATTAAAAAAATAAGGAGATGGAAAAGTATTCCTTGCTAAAAAGAAAGGTCTTCCAAAAGACAACTGGTGGTAAAGAAAGAAAGTACAAAATAAACATTATGTGTTCATGGCAAAAAAAAATGTTTATTCAAGAATTCCAAGTTCATTAGTAGGTTAATCTCACTGACCCTCAATTTCTTCAGCTGCAGAATGGGGATGCTAATTCTTAATCTTCTTGTGGGGAACTGTGAGGATTACATGAAACAATGATATAAAATCCTCAGACTGGTGCCTAGCTCATAGTCATTGTTGTTGCTGTGTGCTGTAAAGTCAATTCTGACTCATAGCAACCCTATAGGACATAGTAGAACTGCCTCAAATGGTTTCTTATGCTGTGATCTTTACAGGAGCAGACTGACAGGTCTTTTCTCCCACAGAGTGGCTGGGTGGGTTCGAACTGCTGACCTTTTGATAAGCAGCCAAGCGCTTAACCACTGTGCTACCAGGGCTCCTTCTACATCGTAGTAAGCACTAAAAAATTATCTTCCCGTTCCTTCTGGCACTGACAGTTCAAAAAAAACCTTAGAATGGAATATTCGGACATACATATTTTAGTTTCCCCATCTGTGGAATGGAAATGCTGGTAAGATAGAAGCATTACTCTAAGGATTAAAAACAAAACAAACAAAAAACAAAAACAACTCCATGTTAACTGTAGAAAAATGAGAAAATTGAACTACTCGTATAAAAACAAGAACAATAAAAAAAATCACATACATAAAAAGAAAAAACCTTAGCTTGAAAAGGGATCTTTCATGTTTATATCAATTTCCCAGTCCATGAAAGAATTCCCTCTATAACATTCCTAACAACCCTCTATATCCAGGAATAAGGCTCCCATCACTTCCAAAAAGCAAACCATTCCATTTTTGACCAGTTAAAGTCCACTTCTTATTTAGACCCAAAGCTGGTTCTACCCAGTGTAGCTAAAATTTAAGCCTGAACTCCAAATTCTGTATCACTGCCCTATTTTGCAATATTTGGTAACTGCTACAGGTCTTCTTTATTCTAGGCCAAATACTTGTAGTTCCTTCAGCTGTTCCTCTATAACATGTTGAAGGTCTTTCTTCAGTTTGATTTTCTTACTTTGGACAGTCTTCCCACTGTGGGCTAATATAATTTTAGACTGTATTAATGTAAGTTCCATACAGAGAACAAGGGAGGGGTGGTCCTATTGGACTCTCTGTTAGGATCTGTGGAATAGTAACAGTGGTTCCTAAACCTGTACCTTTGGAGAGGTTTACTGAATCCAGATTCCCAACCAACACGTCTAATGAGTGAGTACACAGGTCTAGCGTACAGCTCCAGAATCCATTTAACAAGCTGCCTGCATGATTTTATGCAGCCAGCCTAGCATGAGACTGTGAATACTATGTGCATTTCTTTTTCAATTTTAAATTATGAAACATTCAGAGCATAAAGAAAACACCTATGTACTGTATACCAAGAATCAACAGACACTACTATTTTGATGTATTTATTTCAGATATCTTATTTTTTAATAGAAATCAAATTAGAAGACATAACAAAATGTCACCACTAATCCCTTCTCCTTCCCTTCTTCCTACCAAAGAGTACCATTATCTAAGTTGCTTTGCATCATTCCCATAAATGTATTACTTTATTTTTACTACATAGCATTCAGAGATATTATTTTCCATTGTTTTGTTTTTCCTCATTCTCCTGACTCAACCTTGCAGAGCCCCAGGGTACCATTTTTTACTTCTCTTTTCTAGCTACATTATCTTTCTGGTGATCACATCAGTCCCATGATCCTCCAAATATTTCCCCAACCTCTCTCCTGACTCCAGATTCCTAATATTATACTGAACATTTCCACTCAATAGGCACCTCAAATTTAACACATCCAAAATCTAATGTTAGATATCTTCCTACCCCCTGTAGTCTCCCAAATTTCAGTAAATAAAACTCCATTCTTCCAGTTACTTAAACCAAAAAGTTTGGAGTCATCCTCTCTCTCACATTCCATATCCAATTCATAAGCAAAGCCTATTGTCTCAATCTAGAAAATATATCCAGAATCTGATATTACATCCACTGCTCATCACCTCCACCGCTGTCACCCTAGTCCATCCACACCACCACTTCTTGATTGGTCACAATAGCCTCTACTGGTCTCCTTTAGTCCACCCTTTCCCTTATTTCCACAAAGCAATCAAAGTCATCTTTTTAAACTGTAGAGCAAGTCCGTCATCTGCTTAAAATCCTGCAGTGTGGAGAAACTGGAAACCTTGTGCATTGCTGGTGGGAATGTAAAATGGTGCAATTGCTACAGAAAACAGTTTGGCAGTTCCTCAAAAAGTTAAACATAGAATTACCATATGATTCAGTAATTTCACTCCTAGGTATATATACAAAAGACTTGAAAGCAGGGAAGCAAACAGGTACTTGTACACCAATGTTCACAGCAGCATTTTCACAATAGCCAAAAGGTAGAAACAATCAACTGTTTATTAACAGATGGATAAACAAAATGTGGTGTATTTATACAATGGAATATTATTCATCCATGAAAAAAAATGAATTTCTGATACTACTACAACATGGATGAACCTTAAAAACATTATGCTAAGTGAAATAAGACTCAAAAGGACAAATATTGTATGGCTCCTCTTACTTGAAATATCTAGACAGGCAAACTGATAGAGACAGAAAGAAGATTAGAGATTACCAGGGGCTAGAGGGAGGAGAAAATAGGGAGTATTGCTAAATGGGTAGAGTTTCTGTTTGGGGTAATAAAGAAGTTTTGGAAATAGATAGTGATGATGGTTGCACAACATTGTGAATGTAATTAATGTCACTGGAATTGAACACCCAAAATGGTTAAAATGGCAAATTCTTTGCTATTACATTTTACCACCACAACAACAAAACTTCCAACAGTGGCTCCCCACCTCACTCAGAATAAATGCCATGGCCTACAGAGCCCTAACCTGTCCCTCTGTGAGCTCTCCAAACACTCTCCTCTCTATTCCTCTTTCTGTCTTGCTACAGGATTATCAACTTTAATGATTTTTTTTAAAGCAGCAGCTTTTGGTTACACTGACTGTCTTTTCTCTCTTCAATTTCATTGATTTCTACTCTTTATTATTTACTTTTTTCTGCTTGCTTTGGGCTTATTTCTTTTTTTTTTTTTTCCCTTAATACTTTAAGGTAGAAGCTTAGATTATTAATTTGAAACCTGTTTTTCTAATATAAGCATTTAATTTCAACCTAATTGATATTTCCAATTAATTTAGCTACATCTCCAAATTTTGATTATTTTGTATTTTCGTTCAAAATCTTTTCTACTTTCCTTTAAGACTTCCTCTTTGGCTCATGGATCATTTAAAAGTGTACTGTTTAATTTTCAAGTGTTTGGAGATTTTCCCATACTTTTTCTATTATTGGTTTCCAGTCTGATCAGAGACCATACTTACCATGATTTCAGTTCTTTTAAATTTATTAAGGTTTGTTTCATGAACCAGGATATGGTCTTTCTTGGTGGATGTTCTATGTGCACTTGAAAACAGTGTTCATTCTATTGTTGTTGGCTGACGTGTTCTAAAAATGTCAATGGGGTCCAGTTAGTTGATGGTGGTGTTCAGCTCTTGTATAACCTTGAAAATTTTCTGACTATAAATTCTATTGTGTACTGAGAGAGGTGTATTGAAGTCTCCAACTATAACTGTGGATTTAATGCTTAAATTTCTCTTCAGTTCTGTTTTTGCTTCATGTATTTTGAAGATCTACTGTTAGATACATACACATTTAGGATCGTTATGTCTTCTTGGT